AATACGTAGGATTCCACCTTCGCTTATCTTAACCTAAACCATTCAATTTATTCATAAGCTGTCAGCATGACTTGATTGTACAGAAAAGTTGCTTTTAATGAAAAAGTGAAATTGTATTATCTATTCGGTATTTATGTTACTCTAGCCACATAATGTGGCACACCCAGAAACAGCTCTCATGAAGGCATTGGAAAAGTACTCTGATGACCTGAACTGATGTTGAAATTTCAGAGATTCTTAGCTCTACGTCAGTGAGTGGGAAAGGACATCCAATTTCCTGTGGATGTTGACCAAGACACCGCACACAAAAATACAAAATAGACTTACAAGAATCTTCTAGAGAAAAGACCTCATGGTAGACTCATTCTCATAGTGATTTGACATACCCTTAGCTCTATCTCAAACCTCTGTTTCAATAATTACAGCTCTTGTGATAATTATTTACAACCCACATGTTGCCAGACACTACTGTTTCTGATTATAGGTCTGCATTTGCTTCTTTTGAATTTTAATAATTTGTGGACTTTATCCAAGTGTCTGGGTGATGTTGTAATTCATTATTGATGAGAAAAAGAATAAGCTAAAATCATAGTGCTGGTTATGAAGACTATATTAAATCAATTGCTATATCAATAAAATAATTTTAACTAATGGGGGCAGAGTCTGAAGGCTTACCTTATCTTTTCTCATCTACAACACCATGTATGTTTCTTCTTTTCTGTTGCTTCCCCATCACTTAGTACCATTTACAACTGCTAAATATTTTTGAATAAACAAATGTGTTGAAGAAATGTACGTAAAATCTAAAAATATACTTTTGATTCAATTATAATCTGTCTAAATTCCCCTTCCCTGATTTTTACTGGAAATGTTTAGTTCTTCCTGAGAGTTACAAGCCTAGACGCCCTTGTTCCTGTGCCTAATTGTTTTTGTGCACGTGAATCTGTGGCATCTCCATGTATATTAACTGTGAAGCTATTCCCTCCAGAGTAACTAGATAACAGCATGATTATCACAGCAACTCTTTCAGATTTATGAAGCCTTGATACATATTTTTAAGCTACATAGCCTATGAATTCACTAGATTAGAGTATATGAACCAATAACTTTATTTGATTTATGCTAAAATTGAACCATTTTATATTTCTTCACTTATTACCTCTGTTCCATCTCCTATATGTTTATTGCTATCTTAAAATATTTTCCAAATTCTTTTTTAGTTTTTTAAAGTTTTATGTATTTTTTATTTGCTTGTTGTCATATTTTATTTAATTAAATGCCATTTTCTTGCCAATGGCCAATATATTTAATGATTAAACACTTAAACCATTGATGATTTTATGTGACAAAAATAAAGAATCTGCTGTCATTATTCTCATTTAACTTAGCTCTGGAAAGACTGTTCAGTTCAATAAGAGATGAAAATCAATAATACATAGCTATTGAAAGATGTGGAGACAAAATACCATTATTTCTAAGTGATAAGTTTGCTTACTTTGATTTTCTAGGTAAAAACCGAAATCAAACAAACAAACAACAAGTTCAGGATAGAACAGTCGTTTTCAAAATGTGGTCCTCAAGGCCCCCTCAGAGGTTTGTTAAGATCAGAGTTATTTTATTTATTTATTTTTTGAGACGGGGTTTTGCTCTGTCACCCAGGCTAGAGAGCCGTGGCATGATCACAACTCACTGTCCCCTTGACCTCCCAGGCTCAAACGATTCTCCCACCTCAGCCTCCCTAGTACCTGGGATTATGCCACCAGGCCCAGTTAATTTTTGTATTTCTTGTAGAGATGGGATTTCACTGTATTGCCCAGGCTAGTCTCCAACTCCTGAGCTCAAGTAATTCACCTGCCTCATTCTCCCAAAGTGCTGGGATTAAAGGCAGGAACCACCACACTTGGCCAAAGATATTTTCTCTATAGTACTAATATGTTTTTGTCTTTTCAATATAAAAAATACATCATAATGTGTCTCACTTTCTGAGTTTACAATGAAGTCTGCCAGCGGCTATGTGATGTGCTATTCCAACAGATTGAAAGCAGAAACATATTAAAATACATCTGTTTTCTATTAAGCCAGATATTAAAAGAGATTTATAAAATTGTAAAACTGCATCTCTTCTCACTATTTTGTTTTAGAAGACATAATTATTTATTGTAGAAATAGATCACTTAGGTTGACTTTCTTGATATTTTTACATGAACATTTTAAAAACCAGAAATTCAAACCAATACAGGAAATATGAATAGTTATAACCAACACAAACAGAGGATCTTTGACATCTTCATTAATTTTTGAGACTGTAAACTATTTTAAGATAAAAACTTTGAGAATTGCTGGTGCAGAGTATTGGCAATATGTATTTATGTATATATACAACAGCAATAACCAATTATAATTCAAAGTGGAAAAAGTGAAATATTTGGGAATAACCTTATGGATCTATGTGGAATATATAATCAGTATAGTATAGGGGACTCAATAAATAGAGATTCATACCATCTTCCTTGGTATGAAGTTTGAGTATTATAACAGTGTTTACTTTTTAATTTATAGATTTCATCTATTTTCAAACATTTAATGTATGTGAAGTATTTAGCATATTTCCATTAAAATTTCAATGGAAATATGTTAAATAACAAATTTCAATGGAAATATGTTAAATCTATGAAAATAAACATTTTTATAAGATTTAAATTCTAAAGTTTATACAGGAATAACAGAGCAATAACTACAAAAACATTTAAAAGAAAGATAATGAAGGGAGACCTGCCTTATCTAATATTATAGTTACAACACAGAGTCAGATGAATAGAATTAACTAACTCAAACTTCACTGCGTGTTGTGCATATGTGTGTATAGTTATATATTTGTGTGCATTTAATATTAGATAAAGGAGTAATTCATGTTCAGTATTATTCATGATAAGGGTTATGTAAGTGGAAATGTATTTTATCATTTCATTAAAGATAAATGCCATTAATATTAAAAATATTGCTAAGCATTTGTAAATTGTTGGGGGGGGGGGTTGTAAAAAATTTAAACAACCTTCTAAGATAGCTATTTGCTGCTATACATCCTTTAAAACATTCACAATCTTTTTTTTGTTTTGTTTTTGTTTTTGTTTTTGTTTTTTTTGACGACAGAGTCTCGCTCTGTCGCCTAGGCTGGAGTGCAAAGCCGCAAACTCGGCTCACTGCAAGCTCCACCTCCCGGGTTCACGCCATTCTCCTGCCTCAGCCTCCCGAGTAGCTGGGAGTACAGGCGCCCGCCATCAAGCCCGGCTAATTTGTTTTGTATTTTTAGTAGAGATGGGGTTTCACCGTGTTAGCCTGGATGGTCTCGATCTCTTGACCTCGTAGTCTGCCTGCCTTGGCCTCCCAAAGTGCTGGGATTACAGGCGTGAGCCACCATGCCCCACCGAAAACATTCATAATCTTTAACGTGGCAAATTTATTCCTAGCAATCTCTTCTAGAGAAATGTTCAGAAATAGGAAAACATTTATACATAAATATGTTCACAACAGCAAATTTTATATTAATTCAAATTTTAGGACAACATATATATCTATATCTTGAGCAATGATTAAATAAATATGGAAATGACAAAAAAAAAAAACCTGCATGTGGAATAGTATTAACTAAGAGTAGAAAATACAACTATGTAAAAGAGTATATAAAACTACCAGGGGTAGATAATGTAATACATTAAAAGTGGTTATCTCTGGATTCTGCAATTATGGATAGTTTTTATTATCCTCTTTATGCCTTTTTGTATTTTCTTATTTTTTTTTCAAAGATCATATATCACTGCTAAAGTAAATAAAAGCAATGCAATTTAATTAATTTTACACAGAACTATTGACTTTTTAATTCATAGATTAAGACATCAGACATGTTTCATAACAATTCTGAAATGAGATTTTATATTACATTTCAGCTGTGGGTTACCTGTTTTTTTCCATACGCCAGTGACTTCCTCGAGTCGTACCCCATTTTCAGAGTGTACTTATTATCCGTTTGCCAGTGAACTATGTAACCTTAAACCAACCACTTTTCTTCTCTAGGCCTTTAATTTCCTTATCAAATGTTGTTTCTTCCAATTCTATAATTTGAAAATTAAGTAGTAAAGATCTCCAAAGCTATATTTCCAACCGAAACATCATCCCCTGTAATCTGTCTGTCTTCTACTATACATTTTCACCTAACATATTGTCTTACCTTTTGTGCTTCTCCTCCTCCAACCCCCACCTCCCAACATGTGATGATTGAAGAAGGGATTATAATGTCATCTTTCTGTCTTTCTCTTAGTACTACTCAACATTCTTAGCAATAGATCTTAGTGGTCTCTATGTAATATTGCTGACAGATTGTCATGTACAGAGCTTTGGTGATTCTCATTGCCATAGAATTTACTAAACTCTGTAGAAATTCTAAGAGTCTAGATCGACATGGACTGCCTCAAGCTTGAAAGTGAAGTCCTGTTGCCTTTCCTTTTCATCCTTAGCTCTTTTTGATATAGGCTTGGTACAGTTATAGCCAACCCAGACTTGGATCATATATTTAACATTTGAAATGAGCAGCACTTGGGAAATACTTTCTTTCTGATAAAGCGATTATGTATTATTGTAACTATAGTTTACAACCTGCTATTTTTACGCTGTGGTGCTTACTAGAGAACATTGTTATATTTAGTTGTTAATTCAAATAAGTAATTAAATATGTTAATGGATGACAATATGAATGCATGTTGGTACAATATTATAACCTTCATGCCAATCAATTCACTTGATATCACATGTCAGTTTCTTATAACTTAAGTGGTATTACATTCTTCAGTATAAAGTTTTAAGCTATAGTATACATTTTAAATGGAAAAACAAAACCTTAGAGTTGATTCTCTTTGTCAAATAAGTCATTTCTGGGGTGGAAAATATGCTGTTTGATGCCTCTGTGTGATTCATGTGTACTGATAAATTTCTTTTTAAACTTGCAGCAAATAGTGGCAGCAATAAATGCAGGGATTATACCTTTAGGAAACACCTCCAATCAAATCAGTCACTGGGATTTGGGAAGTTCCTTCTTCTTTGCTGGCACTGTTATTACAACCATAGGTAGGAGACAACTTATTTTTGTTTTTTGTTTTGGTACAGTTTGTGAGATAAAATCCATTTGTTTGAATCTTTTGCATAGTTGGTCAAAATGATCTACTTAAGATAGAAAAACTAGATTATAGTAAATTGATTGTGCAAAGGGGGTTTAAAGGTTTAAACAAAGGAATAATGGAAATGAATTTGTTGTTATTTTAGAATACTGAGTTGACTTTAAAATACATGTGAAACAGGAGTAGTGCAGTTCAGTCATTTGACTAATGGTAGTAATGTCAAGAAACAGCTTAAAATGATTATTTCTTTAGACAATTAGTTTTTAATTTTCCTGAATTTTTGATATTTTTTGTGTAGCAGAAAAGGATTTGAATACAATTTTAACATTCTTTTCATGGAAGTTCTTACATGATATCATCTTTTCGAATTTGTAAATTTTAACTCTACATTTTAACAGATTGTGCCTGTTAATATGGTCATTTATGATGATTACTTCAGGACTTGTTTTTTATACATTATATTTTGCTAGTAGCATAAATATATAAAAATTTAACACTGAAATGTGAGGATTATAAAAAGTATGGAAGTTTAGGCCCCTGATGATTTTTTTAAATCGCATTGTTTGTTATAATGTTGAAAGGGTTGCATAATGAACGTGGTCTCTTTTTTCAACTCACCCACACGTGTGCTTGGTATCTTCTAAGGCAGCAGAATGGGTACATGTAGATGTCCTCTCTGCTACTTTGTCATTCAGTGCCCAAAAACTATTCAGGAAACCTAAACACAGATCTCATAGTGAAAGCCATGTTTGTCATTCTGTGAGAATGAGAAAAGCTGCTTGCTAATGGAAAGAGATGCATTTAAAGTGTATTTTTTAAGAAAGAGAAGGAAATGGACTCATAGTTATGAAGGAATTTCGGTGTGAGAAAATATGTTTTAAAAAGGGAGTTCTTTCTTTCCACATACCTTTGGGATAAGTTGAAATCCTGAAAGTTTCAATCTTATTTTTGTGATATCATTCATAAATTATGACATGTATAACGTTTTCATGTCAGCAGATTATATCAAAGTACTAAATAGGAGAACATGGAAAATTTATGGATGAACTCTCACTTAAAAGTTTTTCTACAGGTATTTGTACTGTTCTATCATTATATGAATCCACTGTAGTGCCTCTTTGCACTGGATCACATGCCAGCAAAATACATACATTAGCATGCTGATTTTTTGCCTTTTTTGAGAGGTCAAGAAACTATGTTTACTCTTACATTTCCATCAGCTAGGTCAAAAGTTGCGTGGCTGTGAAAATCTGGAAGAATGGCAACCTTGATTTCTAACCATAATAACAGGTTAAGTTTGGGGCTTAGACATCTTGGCCATTTCTACTATGGAAATAACTATTTATTGTGTAAACTACTTAGAGTCTAGAAGAAAAAAAGCTCACAGACTGAGTGAGAATGGTTTGTTTCTGCCAATGAAAATTCAAAAGTCTAAGTTATAACTCATCATGACCACGACTAAATTATTTTGCAGGAGACTCAGTCATTATACAGACTTACTGTTGCCCTGTATGTTTATAAACAGTCTCATTTTTTGAATCCCCAAATACAGTAAGTTTTGCAGACATACACTTCAACACATGAAAAAATATAAACCATTATTACCAGCCTTACTCCAAATTATAGCCATTAAGCACAGTAGCTGATCATTTAGGCTCTTTAGGTAGCTGCCTGACAGCCCAGATATTCTACTCTTCTATCTCAGGCTTTAGTCTTCAGTGGATTAAATCATTCTGGGTGACCCATATGAGGACTTTTTACTGCATGGTCTTTTACTCTTGTGGTCAACACCATGTCCTCTAATCTTGGACTAGGTTATGGTGGTCTAGGGCAAGAGAAAAAATTTGTCCTCTTTCCTAAGTGTGCATTTGACATCAAAGTCATTATTCCATAAAATTCAAAGTATAATTAACAATATTGCTAATGATAATAATTGTGTGAGCTCTGAAGTGATTTTTAGCAATCATAGAAATTATGACTTTTAGTAATAGCTGCATTACATAAGACATTTTAAAATGACATTAGAAGTTGGGAGAGTTTTGAAAAATAAATTGCAGTGGCTTTTAGAGGGTTCCTGGTACAGGCAGTGCTTCACGGAGCTGAGCTGGCCACAGTTGTCCAAGGATTTTCTGTTCAATTTCATCAATTTTTCTAAGAAGCAAACATAATCCTCACTATTCCTTGGAAATGTGCCCAAGGGGTGTAATACAAAATAAAATATTAAAATTTAAGACCAAATTTTAGAATATCTGTTCGTATATCTAAACACCCTTTCCAAAGTTATACCCTTCCAAATTCTTCACAAATTCTATTCCATAGTTGCACAGACTGAAATCCATTCTTGACCATTCCTTTTCTCTCATATGCCACTTCCGTTCCATATACCAGTCCTGTTGGCTTTGCCTTTATATTAGATTCATGCTTTAACCACTGCTCAGCATTCAAGTTGCCACCATTTTTGTCCAAAGTAGCATCATCGCATGCCAGCAGCGTTGCAGCAACCTTCTGCTCAGAACTCTTCTGTGGTTTCCAACTCAGTCAGAGCAAAAGTCATAGTCCCTTGCCGATTTTTCCTAGTAAAATGCAGGCTCTATGAAGTTAGGGATTTTTAATCATTTGGGTCTTGCTTGCATCTCCAAATGCCTGATACATATTGGGTGCATAATAATTATTTTTGAAACTAAAAACAAATAGGCATTCTATATGGTCTGAACTATGACTTATTGGAAATTACATAACGCCATATTGATACCTGTGAGGCTAAGTTATTAGCCCTTTCAACATATTTCATTGCCAGTTTGTTTGTCTATATATTAATTCAACAAATAATAAAACACTATTGCTCTATTGCTATAAAGATAAAAAATAAATTCCGTGGTTTTAAGTTGTACATAGATCAGTCAGGGAGAAGTGTGGATAAATACACATTTACAATACAGTGTGCCAGGAGTTGTGAGTTAAGAGCATTTAATGGGAATGTATTGATGCAACACTTTACACAGATATTGGGTGGGTAGGTGAGTGAGAAAGAGGTGAGGGACGGTTCCTTTTCCTTAGTAGGCATTGTCCCAGTTGACTGGATAGAATTAGGAATTTGCCAGGTGAAGAAAGTTGGAAAGGGAGGCTTGCAGGCATAGGGAGCTCATGTGGAAAAGACCAGGGGTAAGAGACAGTGTGCTCTGTTTGGCTATTGCCAGTTATCTAGAATGGCTGCTTGGAGTTGACGGGAGTCATCGTCAGAATCATTTTAATCTGTAAGTCAAGGTAAGAAGCTCCTGCTGGATCTGTGCTACTTCTCCTGCTGCCAGGATTACAAAGGAAGTAAGGACATAGTCCCTGCTTGCAGTCTCATTTGGGAGACAACATTTACACATATGAAATGACTGAAGAATAACAAAAATAAGTCTTGGATAATCAAATGTAACATAGAACAGGGGTTTCAGTGCTATGAGAATTGAGAAAAAGCAAAGAACACATGGGCTGGAACTGAAAGTCTTAAGTGGGGAAGTTGGATTTGAACTGTGCCTTGAAGAAAATGTTTCTTTTTTTTTTTTGAGACGGAGTCTTGCTGTGTCTCCCAGACTGGAGTGCAGTGGTGCGATCTCGGCTCACTGCAAGCTCCGCCTCCCCAGTTCACTCCATTCTCCTGCCTCAGCCTCCCGAGTAGCTGGGACTACAGGCGCCCAACACCACGCCCGGCTAATTTTTTGTATTTTTAGTAGAGACAGGGTTTCACCATGTTAGCCAGGATGGTCTCGATCTCCTGATCTCGTGATCCACCCGCCTTGGTCTCCCAAAGTGCTGGGATTACAGGCGTGAGCCACCGCGCCCGGCCGAAGATGTTTTGATTTAGACTGAGGAAGGGGAAAAAGCCTCCCAGTCTGTGGCATGACTAAGCAAAAATCCAAGAAGGGGAATGAGCTGGATTTATTTTGGGGATAGAAAGGTAAGTGTTGGAGTAGACTTGTTTAAAGAAATTGTTTAAAGAAGACTTGTTTAAAGAAGTAGTGGGAAATAATATTGACTGCTTTAGATGGAAAAAATGCATTGAAAATAATCCCGTGTTTGAGGATCTACTGCAATAAGATAGAACCTGGATTTTTAATAAAAGTGAAGTCAAAGTATAGAAGTGACAAGAAGTATTTGTCAGGAAGAGGATTAGCGAATACTGACAGTTTGTCTGAGAGAGCAGTTAGGAGGCATTGCAGTGATCCAGGGAAGGAGGGATGTATTGACTGGGATGATTGGAGTTGGTGTGGAAGGACAGGAGTAAGCATAAAATGTTGGAATAATTGGATACAAGAATCAACAGGCCTTGGTGACTAATAGAATGAAGAGACAGGAGTCAAAATATTGAAAGTGAAATGAATATTTAGGCATCAGGCTTGTAACTCATAGACAGTGCTGGTTGATACTTTTTTGTTTTTGTGAGAAAGGAGTAAAAATATGGCCAAGATTTTATATGTTGTATTATTTTAGGAAGCTTCATTTTAGTCGTTCCTTTCTCCACCTCACCCCCATTTTTTGTTTGTTTGTTTCTTCTTGAATTCAGCAAGACTAGAAAAATTGGGATTGAAGAGACCAATGACCAATGAGTACATTAAAAACAAGACCATGAATGATTGCAATCAATGTAGCAAAAGAAACTCATGATAGAGAATAGATGATGGAGCCAGAGCAGGGAGTGGGAGGTGTTCTAAAGAGGCTGATTCAAGAACTCTCGGAGGAGGTGACATTTAAGCTGAACCCTGAATGATGAAAATAAATCAGCTATGTAAAGAAAAGTGGAAAGATTAATGAAAGCAAAGGGCACAACAGTGGCAAAGATTTGGGTGGGACAGATTTTGGCATGTTCAAGGAATACAGATGAGGCAGTGCCTGGGGGACTGCAGGAAGGAGAGAAGGGGAAAGAAGTGAGATTAGCGAGATAAGAGGCAGCAAGATCATGTA